CTGATGAAATCTTCAGGAAAAGAAAAGTTAAGTAGTGCTAAGGATGTGGAATGGTCTGGTTCAACCCCAAAAAGAAGCCAGTTCAAACCCAAGAAAGAGCTCTGCCCTCTTCCGGCGTTAGTGGCTTTGTCGTGTTGAACACAGTGGAAGTGAACCACATTTCATCCTGATGAGGCAGGACGTTACTCATTCTACACATCATGAACACCTACCCTATGCAAGGCACTTTACATTTGGTGCTGCAGGAACAACAAAGATAAAACAGTTCCTGCCCTTGAGGAGCTTACAATCTAATAATGAACACCATGCACATATATACAATGGAGAGAAGTCACCAATTTTTCTGGATTGGGAAGTATTCCAAGCAAAATGTGTTGTTATTAAACTTGTAAACACATATATAATTCAAAACCAAGCACAAAATTTAGTACAGGTATTGGGTAAACATCAAACATGTATCACTATACACAACACAGACTTATTTTTCTACATAGTCTTATTTCTGTATAAACGAGTTTTATATTCACTTTCATACATCAAAGTACAAATCTGGGTCAAAGCCTTGAAAACAACATAATTCTTAGGACATTTTGCATTTAATTTTCCATTAGTGGAGAGAACGCTAAACCTTACCAGTCTGTTGGCCAAATGTAAATGGGTAAAGTATGAAATGCCTCAAAGCCATCATTATCTCTTACCTTGTCCAATTTGACCATTTTACAGGATTTTTTAAAAATTAAAGTAACAGGATTTCATGACAGTGAGGTAACTTTTTACTTTAAAAATAAGCCATGATTTAGAGTTCTAAAGTTTAATTCTACCCAGCCCACTTCAGTATTTCACTTAGGCCCTACCTTCATCATTTTAGCGTGAGAGTATAATCTTTCACTTCTGTCAACTCTTCTCAAGCCCAGAAAGAATGTTGACAAAGCATATAATAGTGATCTAAACAACTCACTGATTAGGACCCAGATTTTATACTAGGTCTTGGCCCTAGAGTGTAGTTATAACTCAGAAAATGCAATAAGCGGAACCACCTAATTAGTTAAAAGGGTTGGAGGAAATATTCATATACCAAAAGAATTAACCTCTTTCTAGGACAGATTTGCAAATAACTATTCCTCTGTTAAATTTATTTCCACAGCAAGTTTTCAAAAATAGCCCCATCTTAAAACAAACCATCTATGCAGATGGTAGGTGTGTCCTATCAACGAGGCATGGACTGGCTAACAAGTCCTGATAATGATTTCTACCTGTGCCATGCAAATGAGTGTACAATCTGGTGAAAAACCCCACTGCTTCATCAGGATAGTGATTCTATACTATTTTAACTAGAAGCAAGTCTGTATTCTTGAAGTTTGGCTTAATTCCAATTAAAGACGGTTGCATTTCACATGCTCTATATGAGGTTGAATGGCAAATACCATGTTAGCCAACATAAAGCAGATCTTTACTCCAAAACTTCTTTCAGCTTCAAGAAAGAGCAGTTCTAAGTATAACTCTGAAAGACTTGAGACATAGTCTAAAGCTGTTTGAGGCTGCCAGTTGTTACTTGCGCTAATGGCAAAAATAAAAACAATTCATTATGTTAGATCCTTTAGAGGCATTTGGAATGACCCAGCCTTGAGGGCAAAGGTTCCATTCTTGAGACACTCGCTAGTCTCGCTGAATTGCTAAACTCCAACGCACAGAATAGCAGTGAAAGAGTATAAAGATACATCATAATGAATTATGGAAACCATACAGAGACTATGGTGGGCTAATTGTAAAGACATTCCTGTATTTGCCTGCCTATTTGCTGTCTACTTACTTTGACTAGAACACATTCAGCTTAGCTTAACCATAATTTTTGCTTATGAAGAAGAATATTGGCTGTGGGTGGGGGTGAGGGGAAACAGATGGTGGGAAGGAGCTAAAATTTCACATCCCTCAGCCCGAAGTCAAACTAAGAGCTACTGAGCACCCTGACAAGGAAATTATAGTTTTGAAGAAACCCAGATACAATTAATACTATTACCTTTAGAAAGAAATACTACTAATAGCTCTTCTAGGAAGTGAGACTCACTACGCAATTTAGCTTTTAGAAACATCATTGTTAATTCATTTTTCTTCTTTCCAACATGTAATCTGTTAGCTCTGATTGTGTCCTGAAGCAGAGAGAACTGAAGGAAGGGAACCAAGAGAGATCGGTCAGGAGCAGAAAGGATGGACAGATCCTGTGCCAGTCAACCAGTGACACTAATTCCTGATTCAATTCCAGGAATTGCAGCAATTCACCAAACTCAGGTAGTGTAACTGCTGCAGGGAACAGATGCTCATAAAACCAGTATTGTCATTCTCTTAACAAGCACCAATAAAGCATCAACATCTTTTGCGTCTTATTTGATGCCATTATAATTACAAAATAATTGAAATATTTAATTATTGCCCTTTAACATTCTTTTAACCTAATTAACGTGTTAAACTTGCTAATAGGTCCAACCTGCATACTTCAACATTCACATTCGAAAACTTCTTAGAGGGGAAAGCAGAAAAACGTCACATTCAACCATGAGCTTTGCCAGTGGTTCTAATAACTTCTGACATTGAAAAATAATTGGTAGTTTTGGCAGATATAATAGTAGGTAGAGATTGCTTGAAGTCTGCCTGGTGGACATGCAAGGATTTCAGAATGAATATCAAGCATAACAAGGTATCAATTTCTTATCTAGAATAATAGGCACAAATTAACCCCAGGCAGAGAATGTGATACATATGTACATATCAGACTCCCAAAATGCAACAATGTTGTAGCTTAAAGGGTCTAATTGTATCGAATCCTTGCTCCTGTGCTTTAAATGCAGTGCAGCAATAGCACTTTCACTTTCTGTAGTTCCTGAAATAGTTACTACACTCACAGCTGAAATCAACTTGCTATCTACCACATAGGTCAAGCAACTTTTATAGAGGATATAAATTTTAACTACAGGAGGCAATTAGAAAACCTCTGGTGCCATTCTCATTTCCCCAAGGTTGCCCTGAGCAACACACTACCATCAGGTATGCTGACGCTCAAATTCAGAAGCACTATTTGTAAGGGTGCCGTTAACTCAAAATCTGTTTCCCTAGCTCTGTAGTTTAACTTCCACGGGTGAGGGACAGGCACAAGGGCAGGGAAGGGCCTTCCAACTGGGTGTGTGGAAACTTGGCAGAGGCAGGTGTGGCTAGATTTTAGGGTCTTAACAATGCCACTGGGTCAAGTCCTTGCAGTGAGAGTTCACATTCTAGAATAACTGTTGCCATGTTTACTCCCACAGAAACATACAAAAACAATCTGGAGATCCTCTCTAGTTACTCCCACTAGCTACATTTTCTCAAAAACACACAACTGCTTTAAATAAAAACTTAACCTAAGTTTTAAATGGCAGCAGCCCAAAATTCCCCAGTAAGAACAATTCCCTACTGATTCTAATTGGGGCGGCAGTGAAACTATGCCAGAATGATTAAAACTACAATAATTTTTTGACATGATCTCAATTTTTACTCTTATTTACTGTAAAGTGAAAAAAAGAGCTGCAGACACAAATGACTTCATACAATGTTCTGAACTTTTACTCATGATTTCAATGCTGCTTAGTTTCTTTCTTGAAAATCAATAGTGAATAAACACTCTTCTTGAAATTACTACCAAAAGGGGAAAAATAAGCAGGAGATAATAGCAAATACATGATTAAACATAGGAGACAAAACAGCAATTTGAATAGAAACAGAAGACATTTCAGAGCAGACAGTTTGCACGTGCCTCCAAGGGCCCTTGTCGCCACTGCTTGTCAACGTGGGGTTGGAGGGGAGGCTGCCGTTGCAGCGTCATCCACGTGTCAGCGTTTCTTTTTCTTTCAGGCCGAATTTCCAGCCTTGCCCAGGCTGTAGTGCAGTGGTACCATCTCGGCTGACTGTAGCTTCTGCCTCCTGTGTTAAAGTGATTCTCCTGCCTCAGCTCCTGAGTACCTGGGATTACAAGCATGCACCAACATGCCAGGCTAACTTGTATTTTTAGTATTTCGCCACATTGCCCAGCCTGGTCTTGAACTCCCGGCCTCAAGTGACCTGTCCACCTCGACCTCCCAAAGTGCTGGGATTACAGGTCCCTGGCCTCAGTGTTATTTCTAAAGTATGGACAAAATATCTTTCACTAAGGATACAAAATAAAAGCAGGAAATTATATTAAAGACAAAAAAGATTGCAAGAAATAAGAATCTCATATTTTACATGTCCTATCCAACCTTCCAGAAAAATGTACCATTTCAAGATGTGTACACTATAGTCCTGTTGATTAGCACCAACCCCCGCCGGATGTTTCAGAATCCAAGAACACTAATTCCAGAATCTCTTTTAGGTTGTGATTGTGTGATCAATCAAATTGATTTCTGGGACATCTTAACAGACCACTGGGGGTGGGGGTAGGGTGGGGGCAGAACCTGGATTCTAAACATCAGGGACTGTAGAGAGGAAAGAAATTCCTAGGCTCTGTTCGGCTGAATTGTACAGCTTACAGCACCAGAGCTCAAGGGTCTCACTTCTGAGCTGTCCCTCTCTAGAAGTCTCTAGATAGACCCCTGGATACTAAATGAAACATCGGAAATGTCAACATTAAAAATACTAAAAGTTGTAATTATTACTAAAAGAGGAAGGTATATTTTTTTTCTCTGTGTACAAACAGCTCATCTAGGCTACCACAGTTAAGTCTGAAGCAGGGCTGTAACGTGGGTGAACTCCAGTATTTGACATCTTTATACAGGTTAAGGAGTTGCGTCAGGAAACCTGATGACACAGGAGAGAATGAAAAATAAATCACAATTAATTATAATAGTCACCAGATCATTTGACACAGTAAACTTTAGTCTTGGCTTCACCTAAGAATATAGAGTTTTAAAAAACGGTTTTTCATATGCGTGAAAAACAAGAACAGAGGGATGTGTATCGGCAGCTGTTTTCTGAGAACAAAACACCTTCCCGTGCACTGCTTTATGTACTTTTACTCTCTGTTGGTACATCAGATGCCATGGACCAGGCAATTTAAGTTCTGGAGCCCGAAGGCAGTTCCAGACCAAAGCAAAGATGAAAACCTAACTCAACCCAGCAAGGTCCTTATCCAAACTCTCTAGAAGAGACCATTCTGTTCCTAGAAATGACGGGACATTGTGTTCAAATTGTGTCCGTCAAGATATTTAAAAATAAGTGTTCCTCATTGGTTACAAAGCCGGGGCTAATGCTCATCTCAAAACGACTCCAACTGTCTGAAATTGGCCATTTCAGAGGACATCCTTGAGTCCCTGGAGATGAGTGTGCTTCAGAAATGAGCTTCAGGGGCTCTTCACAGTCATCAAGGGCTTCTCTCCACTCAAGAGGGAGCTTCCTCCAGCACATCCTTCTCTTCAGGCTCTTCAGGCTGAAGTTTTCTATGGCAGAGTTCATTATGTCCTTCCATCTTTCCATCACTGATTATTTAGAAGACAGGAGAGTCACAGAAAGGGCAGGGGCTTTGCAGTAACCTCTTAATCCAGTCAGGATCTGCAAAAGGAAGACAAGTGGTATCTACCATGAGCTTCGGAAGAGGCAGTCAGAACGGGTGACACTGGGCTGTAGTGCTGAGAGATGGGTTTTCTGGTCCTGACTGCAATGAACCACCTATGCATCCCTGGACAAAGCACTTCACTGCTTTGGGCTGGGGTTTTCAACATTCCAAATGAAGGTGGACTAAACTTGTGGTTCTCAAAGTCAAGTGGGATGAAACAGGAAAGTAAGGGTAATGTGTTCATAAAGCCGAATTTATTCAATTTAAAGAAAGGACTATATTCCGACAATGTGTTCTTCATATACTGTTAATGTTAAAATACTCTCTCATAAAGTAACAGTAATAGGAATTTTTTAAAAATGCTATGCCCTTGAGAAATAAAAATGTGGCAACATTGCTCAAATCCTCCTCCTCTTTCACCTGTGAAGAGCTCTGCTCCAATGCTCTTCTTAGATTCAGTAGCTTCTCATTCTTTCTAAAAGCTATACATGGCTAGACTCAAAGTTGATGGGCGTGATTTTGAAAGTTTCAATCTTCTCCAGATTTCCTGCCTAGGCAGCATATCAATTACCAATTGCAGTTAACAATGTAAAAGTTCCCATGAATGTGTTTCAAAATAATCCATCAAGAGAAGGGAGGTGGGTGAGGAAACTACATATGAAACAGAAAAGGTCATGGGTTGGTAATTTTTTAAGTGACAGGCACACAGGGATTTATTATATTCTTCTCTTTCCTTTTGTGTATGATTGTCGTTTCCCTGATAGAAGGCTACAACACAACACAAGGTATCAACATAGAAACTTCTGAGAATTAGAGAGCTCCTGCGGGTTTAGAGCAAAACTCAAGAATAAGGATGTAGTTTTATACGGAATGTTCTTTGTTTCAGCTGAAACCAGAATATTCCCCCAAAAGTACATATATAATTGTATATTCTGTATCTAGTTGTCTCACTTGGTTAGAGTGTGATATTAACGTCAGGACAAAATCTGACATTCGCATCATTATTAAATCACTAATTCCTTGCCCACCCTACAGTCTTATTTCCAGGCAGTCACCTCAGAAACAGATGACATCAGAGCTATCAGAAACAGAATATAGATAACTAGGCAAAAACCCATCATGGCTACTAGAATGGCTCCAAGTGGATATCCTATTACTAGTTCAACAGTGTTGTCATTTACAGAGTTTACATTCAAATATAATCTATCTATGTCATCTACTAAAACAAGCTGACATTTTTTGGAATAAATAATTTGTCTGCAGTGACAGAACAGCAACTGCAGACTCGCTTAACTCACACACTAAACCAGGCATCCCCAAACTACCAGCCCGCGGTCCGCATGCGGCCCCCTGAGGCCATTTATCCGGCCCCCCGCCGCACTTCAGGAAGGGGCACCTCTTTCATTGGTGGTCAGTGGGAGGAGCACAGTATGTGGCGGCCCTCCAATGGTCTGAGGGACAGTGAACTGGCCCCCTGTGTAAAAAGTTTGGGGATGCCTGCACTAAATGAATATACACTTTAGTATGACATTCCAATGGCCATGTTTTAGTTAGCTGTAGCTTCACAGCAACACCGTAAAGAGCAACGGGAGCCCGCTCCCCACCCCTCATCCCCAACAGCACAACACCAAGAAGTGTAAAGTGTGACTTGAACTGTTATTCTGGGGTGCTGGCCCTCTGCCAGCATGCTCCATCCAGCCACCCACCCTCCCAAGTAAGCGAAAGCATTCACCTTCTGGAGCTGGATGCCGGGCAATGCTGTCATGGAGCAAACACCGTCTATATATCAAACTCTGACAGGACTGGTAGGTTAAGAAGCACCTGAAAGAAAACAGACTGTATTGGCATGGGAGAGGGTTTGCTCTACTTAAACACTTGGAAACTGTGTTTCTCTACCACAGAGAGGCATCATAAAACCACACATTAACCAAGTGGAAGCATGATCCTCATATATTCACGGCAACAATGCATCCCCCTGTGCACCAAAGCTGGCCAAACCTATACCCTATGCTTCCCAAGTAGACACAAAGATTCTAATCCAGGTAGATTGCAGCTGTTTTTCCTATTTGAGCATCAGAAAAGAATTTAGTCTGTTCATACCTGACTGCGCTTTGAATTCCTGATATGTTTTTAAAAAACTGATTGTGTATTATATTGAAAATTATTCTTTTTAGGTTTTTTGTTATTACTGTTGTTTTGAGACGGGGGCTCGCTACATTGCCCAGCCTGGCCTTCAACTCCTGGGCTCAAGTGATCCTCCTGCCTAAGTCTCCCAAGCAACTGGGATTACAGGCATGTGTCACGGTGCCCAGCTTTTTGTTAGTTAAGACTGGGTATAACTACTGTCTTTAAGGCTCTGACAGTACACTGAGGAAAACCCTGAAGAATATCAAAGGCAAAATTAATGGTGCAAAAAGAACCCAACAGGTCACTAACAAATGTTCACAGGTTCAATTCCATCCAAGGATTATTCATTGAGCATCTACCAGCACCAGGTAAATAAGGATAGATGGGATGCGATGAGATGGGAAAGAGTACACCTGGGTTGCAGGGAAGGTTTCCCAAAATGTAACCTCTCAGGTAAGCAACTAAGGAGTAGACAATACAAAGGAGGGGAAGGGACTCCGAGCAGGTTTACCTCGAGTAAAGACTTGGGTATCTAGGAAGAAAGATTACATCTGAGCAACAGCAAGCACTGGTTCTCAACTAGAGAAACCATACTGAGGTATTTCGGCACTAACTTTGCTCAGTAAAAAAGAAAACAATTTTCCTGCAAGAACCTATGTGGAAGACATTAATGTTAGTGCTTACACATGTGGCTTCTGGAGACAGAACGTCAGAGTCTGAGCTATGCCACAAACCACCACTGTAACTTGGGCAAGTTATTTAACTTCCCCAGGCCCCAATTTCCTCATCTGTAAAAACAAAGGCATCATGACGCTCCTCATGCATGGTTGTTCTGAAAATACACCCTACCTATCCTTATTTGCCTGGCCTTGGCAGAGGCTCAATGAATCATCTTTGGATGGAACTGAACCTGTGAACATTTGTTAGTGTCCTGTCTTTTTGGGCACCATTAATTTTTTGCACCAAAGGTCGTGGGTTGATAATTTTTGAAGTTAAGTGACAGGCACACAGGGATTTATTATATTCTTCTCTTTCCTTTTGTGTATGATTGTAGTTTTCCTAATAGAAAGCTACAACGCAACACAAGGTATCAACATACAAACTTCTGAGAATTAGAGAGCTCCTGCCGGTTTAGAGCAAAACTCAAGAACAAGGATGTAGTGCACCAAAGCTGGCCAAACCTATACCCCATGTTTGCATATTCATTTCCCCAAAGTACTGTCAGAGTCTTAAAGACAGTGGCTATACCCAATCTTAACTAACAGCCAGGTACAATGGCACACGCCAGTGATCCTAGTAAGTTATTTTCACAACCATCATCACATAGTAACTTAATACATGTGTACAGCTTAGACTGTGTCTCGTATATTCATAGTGCTCAATATTTTTATTACTAACCTAAAATATACCACAAGCTTGTTTTCTATTCTTCTCTCTTAAAAAGTTCTGAACAGTCAAATTAGAAAAAGTGTAGAAGCCAGGAGGCATGGTGGTACATGCCAGTAGTCCTAGCTACTCAGGAGGCTGAGGCAGGAGGATCACTGGAGCCCAGAAGTCCACCATGGGCAACACAGTGACACCTCATTTCCCCATCTCAAGAAAAGTATGGGAATTCAATACAAATTGGAAAAAAATCCAAATTATCAATAAGGGAGTAAATTATGAAACATCCATACAATGGAAACCTCTAGTCATTAAGAATAGTATCTTTGTACTGATATAAAAGAAAGTCCATACATTTTTGATAAGAGAACTGGTGAGGTATTAACATGGTATGTGTAGCACAATCTTATTAAAAATGTGGCTGGGCATGGTGGCTCATGCCTGTAGTTCCAGCACTTTGGGAGGCCAAGGCAGGTGGATTACTTGAGCCCAGGAGTTCAAGACCAGCCTGGTCAACATGGTAAAACCCCATCTGTACCAAAAATACAAAAAGAAAAAAAAAAAAAATTAGCCAGGTGTGGCGGTGCATGCCTGTAGTTCCAGCTACCAGGGAGGCTGAGGTGGGAGAATCGCTTGAACCTGGGAGGCGAAGGTTGCAGTGAGCCAAGATTGCGCCATTGCACTCCAGCCTGGGTGACAGAGCGAGACCCAGTCTCAAAAAAAAATAAAAATAAAAATAAATTAAATTTAGTGCCTACCATGTACTAGGCATTGTTCTAGAAATAGCTGTGAACGCAACATAAAAGTTCCTCTCCTCATAGAGCTTTCTATTCTAGAGGAAGGAAAAGGAAAAAATATATTAACTAGTGATCATTGCTGAGGAGGAAAATAAAGGAAGAAGGATGCAAAATACTGCAAAGGGAAGCTATGTCAGTGGGGTGCCACAAATTTAGGTATGGTGGCCAGGAGGGCCTAAATGATAAAGGGACATTGGAGGAAGCCATGTGGACATCTGCTGGAAGAGCATCCTAGGTAGAGGAATTGGCCAGTGTAGATGTCCTGAGATGAGCGGGTGCCTCATGTACCTGAGGAATGAAGCCAGTCTGCCTGCAGTGAAGTGAACAAGATGGAGAAGTATAGCAGATGAGGTCAGCGGGAGGACAAAGGGAAGAAGGGGCCCCAGGCTGTGTAGAGTCTTGTGGGTCACTAAGAGGGTTTTAGTTTTACTCACTAGAAACAGGTAGCCAGTGACAAAATTTTGACACGATCACTATCATGACTATAATGAGAAGAGACTGGAAGGGCAAGGATGGAAGTGGGACGAGCAGATGGAAAGTAACTACAGGTATAATAATCAGGGCAAGAGATGATGGTGTTTTGACCAGGGATGGAGAGGCAGAGGTAGTAACAAAAGGTTGGATTCCAATTTCAGATGCCTATTAAACATCCAAATAGAGGCACTGAGCAGGCAGTGAGATATGTAAGCCTAGACTTAGTGGGAGAGATACAGGTAAAAGCTCTATGTTTAAATCACCGGTGTGCAGATGGTAAGCAACCACCCAGGGAAAGTGCTAAGAGAAGAATAACGGGCGAAAAGACGGACAGCTGAGGTAGCCATCAGCAAAGACAACTGAGAATGAAGAGTCAGGGACAGGAAGAAAACCAGGGTGTACTGTGTCCAGGAAGGCAGGTGATAAAAGTGCTGCAAGGAGGGAGTCACTGTGTCAAATGCAGCCCACAGGTCCAGTAACATGAGGATACACCAAGGTTACATCTCGGAGTGAGACTAGGGAGAGGAAGCAGATATCTTTCATTATGAAACTGAACAAACAAAATAAGAAAACTCCTATACACTAAGCAGTAAAAAACTGTCTTAAAGTGCCAACTTTCTTCAGTGATACTGATGAAAAAAGTCCACATCACGCTTTATAATAGCAGCTTTTCTCTAAATTACTGGCAAGGGCAACAGATAACTGGCATAAATGCTTTACAGTAGTGTGAGCTACACAAGACTGAAAAATGAGCAGAAGTAAGACTTTTAAAATGGCTTACCGGAGCCAAATGTGGCCATTGGAACAGACTGCCTGTTTGCGATCTGTGAATGGCAAGATCTCTTTACACAAACTACAATGCTCAGGGAAAGTTTGTTTGTTCATCTTCTTTGAGATGTGTCCAATCAGCACCTAGTAAGACAAAGCGGTCAGCAAAGTTTAGTGGTAAGCGCAGGATTTCCTGAAGAAAAAGCCTACAAACACAAAGGGAAAAATTTAAAAAAAAAAGAAAAGAGCAGTATTTTACAAAAGACAGGAGATTTGTATTTCCACACAGGCTGATTATACTGTGAAAAATAACAGAACTAGAGTTTCAATCTGTGTCAACTAGCTGAGTAAAATAAATTCATCCTGGGACTCTGAAAACATGGTAAACCGTAACCACTAAGGAGAAAACTGTTCTGAAAACCAAAATCTTACTTGCCTTGTTTTAGTTGCTTCTGAAACAAGGACTTCAGAGTTCTGTTAGAAGACAAAGTCTTCTAATTTAGCTATTATTTATAATGTTTTGACTTTAAGAAGAAAAAGCGTAATCTCTACAGGCAAAACATTATGTGGAATACTACTCTCTTTGTAGAACTGTACAAATGTCTAGTTTAGAAGAAAAGCTTACAAAGTAAAAAGATCCATCAGGATTAAAAAATAATTTTTCCTTCTGATGGCCCAAAGACCCATGGCCAACATAGTCCAGTAACCTTCAATCTGAGATCCACCGACCCCACCGCAGATGCACAGCTAGACCCACTGTAGGAGCAAGAAGCTGAGAGTGAGAGAGGTGACAGCACAGGCTCCAGGCCTTGTCCCTGCTTCAGTTATGTTTTTCTCTGCTTTGTTAAGATTACACCCTTGGCCAGGGGTGGTGGCTCACGCCTATAATCCTAGTACTTTGGGAGGCTGAGGTGGGTGGGTCACCTGAGGTCAGGAGTTTGAGACCAGTCTGGCCAACATGGCGAAACGCTGACTCTACTAAAAATGCAAAAATTAGCCAGGCATGGTGGTGCACACCTGTAATCCCAACTACTCGGGAGGCTAAGGAAGGAGAATCACATGAACCTGGGAGACGGAGGTTGCAGTGAGCCAAAATCACGCCACTGCACTCCAGCCTGTGTGATGGGAGTTAAGACTCCATATTAAAAAAAAAAAAAAAAAAAAAAAAAAAAGATTATATCCTTGGCTGGGCACAGTGGTTCATGCCTGTAATCCCTGCACCTTGAGAGGCCAAGGCAGGTAGATCACTTGAGGTCAGAAGTTCGAGAGCAGGTGCCCAACATGTGAAAACCCTGTCTCTACTAAAAATACAAAAATTAACCAGGTGTGGTAACACACACTTGTAATCCCAGCTACTTGGCAGGCTGAGGCAGAAGGATCCGCCTGAGCACAGGAGTGGAGGGTGTAGTGAGCCAAGATTGTGCTACTACTGCATATCAGCCTGGGTGACAGAGTGAGGCTTCATCTCAAGGAAAAAAAAAAAGATTATGCTGCTTAAAAATTAAAGTCTGAAAACACTTGAATCTAATTCTTTTTTGGGGTAGGGGACAGAGTCTCTCTCTGTCACCCAGGCTGGAGTGCAGTAGCATGATCTTGGCTCACTGCCACCGCTGACTCCCAAGTTCAAGCGATTCTCATGGCTCAGCCTCCCAAGTAGCTGGGATTACAGGCATGCTACACCATGCCTGGCTAATTTTTATATTTTTAGTAGAGGTGGGGTTTTGCCATGTTAGCCAGGCTGGTCTCAAACTCCTGACCTCAGGTGATCCGCCCATGTCAGCCTCTCAAAGTGCTGGGATTACAGGTGTTAGCCACCACACCTAGCCACCGCCTCCCCGCCAAACTTTTTTTTAAACTTCACTGGATATGTAATTTGGAGGCCAGGACACATAACCCTCAATAACTGTCTTCTCTTACTAGTGATAGCATCCGTCCAATTTTCAATCCATTTCTGCTTAACCTCTTACGGATGAATCCAAAAGATTTGATTAACTAAAATTAAGTTTCAAAGGGTGTCTTACTAGCTCAGAAGTTGGTGAGCCAGCTATCTTACCTCTTCTGTATATACTCTACTAATTTAAATCCCATTAATTTTTGGCCTTTTTGCTTCTTCCGTCCTAAGAATTCTAACATATGGTAGGACTGCCACACTCACCTTGCTTTTCTACACAGGCCAAACATCCTGATAATGATACAGTGACAAAAACTACTCAGAATTCCTCCCATATAAACACACCTCAATTTTTTTTTTTTTTTTTTTTTAAGACAGGTCTCAGTATTGCCCCGGCTAGAGCACAGTGGTGTGAACATGGTTCCCCACTCAGCCTCCCAAGTAACCAGGGCTACAGGCATGTGCCACCACACCAGGATGCTTATAGATTTTTTTTTTTTTTTTTTTTTTGGTAGAGACAGGGTCTCACTATGTTGCTCAGGCTGGCCTCAACCTCCTGGCTCAAGTGATCCTCACACCCTGGCCTCCCAAAGTGCTGGGGTTACAGGTGTGACCACTGCGCCCGGCGCAGATGTACATAAATTTTACATAAGTAAGGACTGCTATTTGTTCTCAGTAGCCTTGATCTTGGCAAGCACAAATGTGTTATTCTGACTCACACATTCTCAATGGCAGTGACAGTCCTTCCAAGGCAGCAAATATTAGTTCTTGGAGACAAAAATTTCTTTTTTATACTCTTTTTCTGTATAAAGAACACAGATATAACATAAACAGATACATATATATACATATATCTGTCGCATTAAAACTTCATGGGCAGAGGCAATTCGGAAAAGGCATCTAAAAATGCTCCGGGGGGAGTGATAATGAAAAAAGATTAAAAAGGGAAAGTTTAACCATACCAGCATACTAAGCAGATAATCTGAAAAATAATTTATAACTACTAATAAATCAATATCCTAGGTTTAAAAAGTCTTGATTTTATAACATATAGTTGGATTTTTAAGACATGAAATGCTTGGTCTTCAATAAAAACTAAGTTGCTATAGATGGGGAGGGGTGCAGTCTTCTGGTTTTTAAATTGGCTCTGTTGAAACCACATCACCATGCTAATGGAGCTTCCCAGACTCACAGAGTATCTGGACAATTATTCTAAATCATGACAAACCCAACCGCTAATATTTTCTAAAATGTTTTTGCTAATTTTTCACTGACTCTTATAATAAACCTAACTAGGTCCCATAGCACTGTGATAACCAGAATACTCTTCCAGACAATTTGGAATACAATGAAACAATGTTTAAAACTTTTTTTTTTTTTTTTTGAGACAGAGTTTCACTCTTGTCACCCAGGCTGGAGTGCAATGCGCAATCTTGGGTCACAGCAACCTTTGCCTCCTGGGTTCAAACAATTCTCCTACCTCAGCCTCCTGAGTAGCTGGGATTACAGGTGCCCACCACCACACCTGACTAATTTTTGCATTTTTAGTAGAGACAGGATTTCACTATGTTGGCCAGGCTGGTCTCAAACTCCTGACCTCAGGTGATCTGCCCACCTCAACCTCCCAAAGTGCTGGGATTACAAGCGTGAGCTAGTGTGCCTGGCCTCAAAAGTTAACTTTCAAAGAAGAAAATGCAGCTACATCAACAGTGCATCTTAATACGCAAGATCACTGCAAACATTCTATGAGCAATCATTTCAGAAGTGAATGTGTGTACACAAACATACATATTCTGTCCGACAAGAAAATGCAAAAAGGATTGTGAATGGCTTGACATTAAAAACAAAGATACTGCCTTTGATTAATATTTTAAATAAGACTTTAGTCAATAAGTATCAATCTTTGAAGTAAAAGGGAGCACGGATATTTGTGGTTTTGAATATTTCAGAATACAGTATATTTCTTGGAACACTAATTCTTCAGGATTTTAGCAGCTGTTAGTGCAAGAAAGATGCTCTGATCAGGAAGTCTGAGTAATACTGAGCTACACAAAGGTATCAGTTTCTTTTCTGTAGGAATTCTCAGAACCCTTAGAATGATAATTGCACTGGGAACCCTAGTGTTCCGTTAAGCAAGTTAAATTCTTTAGAATACATTTTGGATAACACTGTTTAAGACTGTTCTGCTACCAAAATAAAGATTGTGCCCGGTTTTTGTAAAAATGAGGCATGAGTAACAATACGTTTACTTTATGCCTTTCTTGACTAAATCTGAAGATATCCTTAAGTCCTATCAAATGGCAAACAAGTCATTACACCCCTTCCCTACAAAACTTTTGTAAAAGAGGAAGGGCAGGAGCATGGGCACTATGTTTCTACTGCTGTGATCGCCCAGCACTTACTACTAAGCTAAATGCAGCCACTTTGAGCTAATCCAGTCTGGAAAGCTTACCCTGCAAATCTGGCCTATCTGTCAAGGCCAGTGTGAAGAAGAATCAAAATATTCTTTGTATGCTATGAATGCATCCTCTGCATTAATCCACATTTCCTATTTATTCCCCTGTACCTCATGTAAATCAATTACCTAAAAAAATCTCAAAGCAAAAGTTGAACTTAAGGAACCCAATTTAGGTCATTTCTTTCTCATGAAGAAAGCAGACTTTCCTCAATCTCAGAGTTTTTGTTAATAAACACCTACCCGTGCTGTTCTGTCATCATACTCTTCATCAGACATTAAAAAGTTACAGAGTCCTCGGGTGGGGATGCTAGTGTTTTCCGTGATCCAGGTGTGCAGATACACCTCTCCTAAGACTCGCTTCATGTGTTCCCTGGTCAAGTGCATCTCCACGGCTTCAATTTTCCCTTGGATTTCCAGGAGTTTCTCTTCCATTGGCTCACGGCCTCCGGTATCTCCAGTCTGGGCGAGTGAGTCATCCGCGGGCTCCTCTCCATCTCCTTCCTTACTCCTCTCCTGCAGGCCTTGCTTTACCACCTGTTTGGAAGAAGTGCCTTCTTCCTGCTGTTCATCCTCAGGATTGCCCATTCCAGGTGAATCCACTAGTAAGATTTTGGAGTCCTCCTGGGTGGGTTTCCATAAGGCTTCTGAAGGGGTTTTCTGCATTGACTGATATAAAATCCTCAGGAGGAAAAGCTTAAAACGCCAAAAGTAGGTGACTCCACTGCTTTCAATCTTCTTTTCCAAAGCTTCTTGTAAAAACTGAGGGATATGTTTATCTTTTAAAATCTTCCAGCGTACTAGGTCTATTAAATCTACCTGCTTAAAAAGGTTCTGAACAGAAGATTCCAGGAGCTGGGCAGCTGCCTCTTCAAAGGTTTTGAGAGTAACAAACTGGACCTGGTAGTTTTTGTTAACGGGGTGGAGGCCGTTGACCATGCCCTCAGTGGTAATGATGGCCAGGTACGCACCACAGGGGCTCACTGCTATCCCATGAGTCCTCACTGAGCCAAACACATCTGAGAGTTTAATCAACTGGTGTTCAAACTTTAATGCGACATCTGTGAAAATGGGAATCAGCTGCCTCACTTTCCCGTCACTCGAGCAAGTATAGACCGTTCCATTCTGTTTGTCTGCAGTCATGGAGACAATCGGCAGTGAGTGAAGGCCTGTCACGTGGGAATTGTGAACATTCAGCCCTGCTTTGGAGATCAGAAGAAGACACCAAAATACATAGGAGCCTCTTGCAGCTACTACTAGGCTGCAACTACACTTCTGGTAAGGGTGATAAAGTGGCACACATTTGATGCTGTGCACAGGCAACTGGTCCATTTCTTTCCACAAGATAACAGGCTGCCTTAAAGTGAAATAGCCTTTGACTGCTTTGAGATTGACAGGAAGAATTTTTACAGGTCCGAAAGCACTCCCTACAATAAGGCCACTCATTTTTCGATTATTATGCTCATATTCCCACCAAAACAGTACACTGGGAGAGGTGATTCCTGACTCAATCGTGTTGCATGAAGAGATGGATTCTTTTCCTACAAATGGCAGCTGAAACTGCCACACGGCGATGTTACCGTTTTCAAAGAGGACGGCCAGGAGCACACTGCCGACGTCCCGGCATTCGTTGTTATGCTTGACCTGCTGAGTGGTGCAGATGCCCGACCACTCCATTCTGACTGGGGTCTGCATGCTGTGTCTCCTCTGAAACTCAGCAAAATCCCCGAGATTTCCTTCTGGGGCCTCACTTTTAGAGAGCCTGTAACTGGTCTCATAAAGACGTTCTCCGTAGATCTCAGTCAGGTCAACCAGCTGGACCCACTGCAGTCTGTTGAGATTCGCCTGGATGGTCAGGCGATTGTCCATGGTCAGTGCTGCCAAGAGGCACCTGCCATTAGCATCACAACCCATGGGAGACCAGCTGGTGTACTTGAAGCCTCTCATTGGTGGTAAAGCCTTCCCCTCAGGGTTGAACACCCTATCCAACATGAAAGTCTGACTGACCGTGGGGTCCTTGGAGGCGGCGAATTTCTCCTTGCACTCAGCAACTTCTGTTTTTGAGCCAACCTGAAAATAAGAGATATAAAAACTATCAGATGAGTACTTATTCAAGGAGACGGCAATTTTTTTTTAAACAGTCAGAATACATATCATTATTCATAGCCTGATTCCCATATTCTTCTTAGAACTAATATATGCAAGAGAAATGTACTTGATTCTTAAGATTCAACAGAGCTAGATAAGCTAGTCACTAAAACAAAAAAGATGTTACAAATTTATGAAAATATTTATATCTTTGATACAATTTAATATTTAGATTTTTACAATATCTTTGCAATACAAATGACAGCTTTAGGTCCTTTATCTGAAATTTCATTCACAAATAATGGTGAGAGCCAACTCCAGCTGCTTTGTTTACTGTCTCTACAGAATAATGTTCACTCTAATCAGACTATTCTAGTTGCCATTCCCATCTCAGCTTTCCCCGGCTCCCTTGCCTGGTTCTTCCCCCTATGCAAATCCCATCTCTCCTACCAGATCGAATTCTCTCTTTAAGGCCTTTTGAGGTCATTCAAGCTTTCATTCATCTCTTCCTCCTCCAAGTTTGTAACATGTATCGGACAGTGCCTAGCTATATGACAGTGAGTCCTTTTTTTTCCAAGATGAAGCCTGGCTTTGTCATCCAGGCCGGAGTGCAGTGGCACGATCTCGGCTCACCACGATACCTACGTCCAGCGTTCAAGTGATTCTCCTGCCTCAGCCTCCCAAGTAGCTGGAATTACAAGCGTGCACCACCACACCAGCTAATTACCTCAAGTGATCCACCCGCCTTGGCCTCCCAAAGTGTTGGGATTACAGGTGTGAGCCACTGTGCCCAGCTGTGAGCTCTTTAAAAGATTTTAAAGGGACATTAAGATGGAGGAAGAGATAAATGACCAAGAGGAAGTGGTTCAGCATCACAAAAAGGAAGGCTAAAGCCAAAAAAAAAAAAAGAGCAGAAACTCCCCAAAAGATGTTTTGTTATGTCGGAAGCAGGAAGAAGAAAGGACTTGATCCACTGTCTTTAGAGAAATGAACAAAACAAAAATAATCCTTCAATCCTTCTTTAATGTCAATCTCCTTTTTCAAAGAGGCTGATCTTTAAACTGGAAAGAGTAGAACGCGATTAAAAGGAAATTCCAGCCTAAGACATACATGGATATAATAAAAGTCACTTTAACTGAGTTTAAGTTTTCAAGCCTAGGGGAATTACCCTCCATGACACAAAAGCATTTGGAAGATGTTAAGTCAGAACCACTGACTACCTCCTAGATGAAGTATGGACAACTGGGGCTATGTTAGAAAATCAGAGTGTGACAAATAATTTAAAACTATCCCTCAAGGCTGGGCGCGGTGGCTCACGCCTGTAATCCCAGCACTTTGGCAGGCAGAAGTGGGTGGATGACTGGAGACCAGGAGTTTGAGACCAGCCTGGGCAACATAGTGAGGTCCCCTCTCTACTAAAAATACAAAAATTAGTCAGGCATGGTGGCAGGCACCTGTAACTCCAGCTACTTGGGAGGCTGAGAAAGGAGAATTGCTTGAACTCGGGAGGCAGAGGTTGCAGTGAGCTGAGATTAGGCCACTGCACTCCAGTCTGGGCGATGAAGTCAGATTCTATCCAAAAATAAATAAATAAATCACCCAAATGGTAAGTAAATAACAAAAACTAGAGACCATTAAGCCTTACAGAAATAAAATTCCTCAATGTATTAACAAATGAATAGTTTGTGCAGACAGGACTGATGATTAGAAACTAGCAAAGGATAACTGGAATAATCTATTCTTATTCTGTCTTCTAAAATTGCTAGATGACATAATAAGCAAATAAAATGAAATGCTAACAGAAAACTCTCCACAACATAAACTAGAGAACTTTTCCTATGGTGTATTTCACAGTACACTACTCCCTTAAACTGTCCCTTGAAAAATAGTTCTATGGCCGAACAAGCTTTGGAATTACCACATATTACACGTCATTCTCCCTTGAAAAGTAACAAGAGGACACTAAACGCCTTGGCCAGGGAACTACTATAGAGACCTACTGAGACACGGGAAGCCAAACTTTTTTTCCTTTTTAAACAACAGAGCCTTTGGTGGGGGCAGTTATTACCCTTTAATGATGTTTTAGGCAGTATATCTTGATGGCAGGAAGGCATTTTAAGGTAGTCTCTTGGATACACTATGAAACTTGCTGGAGAATCAGACTGAAAACTCCAATTAAATGAGGTGTAGGTGTCTGGCTCGGAAATGAAATAATGCTAATCAAAGCCCAGTGCTTTCTAAAGGTAGATACAATTTGTAAGATAACATAATGAAGCACAGCGTAATAACTGAAAATCTGTGCTATGATGCCGGACTACCTGGGTTCAAATGTTGGCTCTACTACATACCAGCTCTGTGACTGTGAGCAAATTGCTTAAACCTTCTGACCTTAATTTCCTCATTTATAAATGAGATTAATATACATCTCATAAAGTTAGGAAGGTTAAGTCAATATATTAAAGCATAGGTGCTGAATAAAGTTAGCTATGATAATCATTAATAAACTCTGAGGATGAAGTTAAATTTTTTTTTTTTTGAGACGGAGTTTCGCTCTTGTTACCCAGGCTGGAGTGCAATGGCGCGATCTCGGCTCACCGCAACCTCCGCCTCCTGGGTTCAGGCAATTCTCCTGCCTCAGCCTCCAGAGTAGCTGGGATTACAGGCACGCACCACCATGCCCAGCTATTTTTTTTTGTATTTTTAGTAGAGACGGGGTTTCACCATGTTGACCAAGATGGTCTCGATCTCTTGACCTTGTGATCCACCCGCCTCGGCCTCCCAAAGTGCTGGGATTACAGGCTTGAGCCACCGCGCCCGGCTAAATTTTTTTTAAGAGTCTCTGTCACTCAGGCTGGAGTGCAGTTAGTGTGACTACAGCTCACTGTGGCCTCAACCTCTCGGGGTCAAGCGACCCTTTCATCACCTCAACCTCCTGAGTAGTTGGGACCACAGGTCCACAACACCAAGCCTGTCTAATTTTTAAGTTTTTTGTAGTGATGGGGTCTCCCTATGTTGCCCACGCTGGTCTTTAACTCCTGGGCTCAAGTGATCCTCCTGCCTTGGCCTCCCAAAGTGCTGGGATGACAGGTGTGAGCCACAGCACTCAGTCTTAGTAAGATTTTTAATGCTAATAAAAGTATGCAAAAATGCAAGGTGGACATAAAGTTGTCTATCAAATGGAGGATAGATATAATAAAATTGTTCATCAAATCCTTCAATACTGTGAACTAAGCAATACTCCTTAGAACAAATAAAAGCTACTGTAGAAGTAAACTCACAGGATTGGTACCAAAGCAGCGGCATAGGATGAAATAAAGGAAGGTCGAGTAGCCCATGGTCCTACTCATTGTAGGAAGAATTCTTGACAGGATGGACAGCAGCACAGATCTTGACTGGTAGGAAAAAGCCTTAGGGTTTTGTGCAGCAATATCTGACATATTAGTTTCAATTAGACTACTGCACCTCCTTCCAACTCTCCCTATCCTAAAACTGTTAGCAAATCAAATATTCAGATGCCCAAGGAGTATACTTACAGTCCAGCTCCCAGGGGCCTGCCCACAGCCAATCATTTAATTGTAAACCATCCAGTTTTCGTACTATTAGGCTGGTACAAAAGTAATTACAGTTTTCACCATTACTTTTTAATACTAACCGCTCGGCACTTTGTTAAGCACCTGACAAAAATTCACTTGAAGCTTTTAGTAAGCCTCTTTTTTTTTTTTTTTTTTTTTTTTTTGAGCCGAAGTTTCGCTCTTGTTGCCCAGGCTGAAATGCAATGGCACGATCTTGGCTCACCGCAATCTCCACCTCCCAGAGAATCACGCAATTCTCCTGCCTTCACCTCCTGAGTAGCTGGGATTACAGGCATGTACCACCAACCCCACCTAATTTTGTACATTTAATAGAGACGGAGTTTCTCCATGTTGGTCAGGCTGGTCTCGAACTCCTGAACTCGGGTGATCCGCCTGCCTCGGTCTCCCAAAGTGCTGGGATTACAGGTGTGAGCCACCATGCCAGGCCCTAGACAGTAAGATTCTTGAGGACAGGTAATAGAATCCAAAGACAGGCAACAGTCATTACTGTAGCAGATAAAGTTAATACTTCCTAAGGCTCCTAACAATTGATGCACAATACAATTCGGTACATAAATATTATCAGAATTTGGAACCATACACAAATGATGGTTGTATGGTTCATCATCACAAACTACTAAATTAATAGTCCAATGGGAAAAACAATTTTGATATTCTGAAATCACTATTTCATTGCTTTTCAGTTTATACTGTTCACCTTTACAATCATACAATCTTATAAAACAGCCGTTAATGTCTGAACTACTATATAACTGCAGATTTTCCTGCAAATTCATAATCTAAATAACAGAATCATAGAGCAAAGGCTTCAAAGGTGTTTAGTACCTAGCTTTCTAGCAATGCTACACTAAAACTGATCTACGCTGCAGACTGTCCACCATTTAGGTCAGCAGGAATGCATGCTGTACAGCAACGAAAAGATTGAAATCCACAGACTGTCAATGGGTAGAGTCATCAAAGTGCTGATACAGATTTCTTTACATTCCTACCATCATACCAGAGTTTTATTCCACGGAGGACTCTTGTAGAACTGCAGGAACAACTCAGCATTCATTCACTTGGCAATCAAAGTCTAATAAGACGGCTACAGGGCTGATGGTTTATGTGATGTACATATTGGAAAAAAAAAACCACCTTAGTACAGAAGGGGAAAATGTCACTAATTTATTCCCTGGAAGTCATTTGTCAACTATAAGAGGGCTATATAAGGATTTCCTGTTACTAGATGTTGTGATAAATGTCAAGTGAGGAAAAATGACAGTCAAAATTTTATCAGAATACTAGGGATATCTTCCTGTCCACAACCACAACATTAATTCAGACTCCTACTCCTTCATGCCCGTATAACTGCATACTATTTTCACCTTGAGCATTTACAGTGTGCCAAGAACTGTGCCCAGTGATTGTGTATATTTAATCTTCTAAAAAGCCTAAACAAGGTTTCATTATCTCCCTTTTGTAAATAGGCCTATCTTGTGCCAAAGCCCAATCTCTTAACTTCTATTTTACACTGATCCTATCAATCATCTTCGTGCCTCTTTCCAGCCAGATTCATGTTCCTGAACTGCTTAACAGGTCACTCTGTGCTAATGAAAACCATAACAGCATCTTAAGGGCTTCCTAGATTGAAGTCAACTTCCTCATACCGGCCTTCCAAGTTCATAAACTGGCCTCACACTACTTTCTGACTCTCTAGAAGAGCGACTTGAGCTCATGTACTGATCTGTCATTACACAAACAATAGTAAATTATGTTCATGACTTAATTTAGTAAATTATGTTCATGACTTATTTACATACTTATTTACATAAGAACATAATTACAATAGTAAATTATGTTCATGACTTAAGGGCACATGGGATGAATGCCCTTTCCTCCCTTCCTCTTACAAGCCAAACACAACCTCTTTAGGACGGCTCCAGATTCACCACCAGATGACCTGCCCCATAAAAGTCCCTCCCCTCACTATTCCCTCCTTTCTTGACATTCTCTCTGCTAAAGTACTGACACACATACTTTCCCTGCGTTGATGTGCGTAGGAACATCCTTGGAAACAGTTAAGTTCCTTTTCAGCAGAAGATACACCTTTTACATCACCTTTCTTCTGCCTACCTCCTTGTATGTTTCTCAATTTCATAGAGTTGCATCTATCTGATATGTTTACACTTGAACAAATGTGGTCTTATCTCCTTCACAAAGATCTTAGACGAAGCTTAGTCATACAAGCTAACACTCTGACAACATCAACCTGTTTTAAACTTGAATTAAGTACGCTAAAAAGTGATAAAGGTTATCTGCATCCTACCTATAGCTAATGAGTCATATTTTAAATGGCTGTCCAGAATAAGGTTACGAACACATAAACATGTTCTCTGTATATGGATACAAATCTTTACAGTGCTTATCACTGCCCGACAGTACCTTATCATTTGTTTTTGACGTGCCAACGAATGTAAACTTCATGAGGGCAGCGGCTCTGTTTTGTACACTGCTTTATTTCCAGAACATGGGGCAGCACCAAGCAAAGTAGTAGTCAAATATCTAACGACTGTATGTACACGTTGATAGATTCCATATAAGCATACACCTCTATCAACGATATATGGAAAAGTTTTTACACCTCTAAGCAACTAAAGGAACGCTAAAAGGAACTATAAGGAACGCTATGGCTTACTACTTGACCTTGCGCTTGAAGTTTAAGAAATGCAGTTGTTTCGAGTCTTTATTTTCATTCTACATCGCAAAGATGTTTAGTTAGTAAAGAAAAACTGGAGTACAAACCCCGAGATCCAGTATTTACCCGTTTGCCCAAGATGAGAGACGAGGATCATTCATAATAAAGTCACTGCAACAGTTAAGACAATGAATAGGATCAGTTTTTCTTCTCTGAAGCAAAAGAGGCTCGAGAGGAGGGCACACACAGTAAACAAAAGCCAGCCAAGAACCTCAGAAAGTCGGCCCCAGACAATAGGAGCGACGACCGAGGCAGGTCCCGTGTTGGATCTACAGGAGGTGGAGCCTCAGACACGGGGTAACCCACTCCGCGTGCGGGCGAGGGAGGCTGGCGGGACCAACTCCGGGAAGCCCCCTGGGTGTGTACCTGTGTTTGGGGCGGCGAGTGACCTAGGGAAACGGTGCAAACAGCTGCAGAGCTTTCCTTTTTTTCTTCTTGAAATCTGTGGCAACCCTAGCTGCTTAATCCCCAGCGCTGGATGCGAAAATGAAAATCCCCGGAACCATTGTGGACCGGGATTCCCCTGGGACAGATGACGCGGCGGCGAGAGGGGCTGGCGGGGGAGGACTTACTTTGAGGAGGCAGCTATTGAGGGGGGCAGGCACCGAGGTGCGGTGGATAACCAGGTCCTGGCCCGGGTTGTGCACGTCGCAGATGAGCTCCAGCACAGCGATGCTGCGGGCCGTGGACACTGACACGCGGTGGTCCTCGGACCAAGCCAGCGGTTCCAGACCGCTCACCGCATACTGCAGCTTCACGGCCGGCTCCCGCCGAGTCACCATGAGGCGGAATGCAGCGCTGGGCCCCGGGGCCGCGTCCGCTGCCGGCTCCTTCCCGCCCGCCTCGCCGCCCGCCTCGCCGCCCCCCTCTCCCTCCTCCTCTTCGGGCGGCGCAGGCCCATCATCCTCGGGCCCCACTAGGGTCTGGTCGGCCGTGTCCATTTTCTCTCAGGTGCAGAGATCGGACGCCCAGCCGCTCCAAGCCCGCGTAGCCGTCACGCGGCCACCTCCCGCACCAACACCACCACCCCCACCCGCAGCGCCCTCCGCGGCGGTTTTCTACCCTCAGGCCCGGAGCGCCGCCGAGCGAAGAAGGACCCCACCGTCGCCAGGCAACGCGGCCCTGCCGGGTGCCCAAGGAGCTGCCTGTCCAGAAAACGGCCGCAAGCCGGGATCCCCGAGCATCCCCGTTCCCTTGCCCAGGGATTGAGCTCGAGCCTCAATCCACACAACGAGTGAGGCTTTAGTTCCTGAGGTGCCAAGGAAACGCACGCGGCGGCAAAGGCGGAATTCTTCGGTGAGATGGCGCCGGGCCTCGTTTCTCGGAGGCATTCAGAGAATTTCCCTAGCGTGAACTCTCGGCCGAATGTAATTTTTCCGGGCTGGGAGGGACGCAGAGCGGGGTTACCACCGGCGGGGGCCGGAACCCCCGCCTCGCCTCTATCCGCCTGCTGCCGCCGTCTGTCTCCCCTTGGGGTGGGTCGGTACAAGTGGAGCCGTTCCGGACCCGGAAGAGGCTGCGGCGCAGGACTCGGCGGGGCAGCCGCGCGGGGTCCTCGCGCGTCCCACGTTGGGTCCTGGCCTCAGCCGTCTGTACACCCGGCTCGCCGCTGCACCACGCGTACCCCACGCAGGCCATGGCAGCCGCCGACGGTTCGCTCTTGGACAACCCCAGGACGTTCTCCAGACGCCTCCCAGCCCAGGCGAGTCGGGTGAGTTTTGACCCGGCTTCAGCTCCGTCCCCACCCGCGGCCCGGCTCTCAGCGCGCCGGGAGCTGCGGCTGTGACTCGGGGTCGGCTTTCGAGTCCTTTACGGAGTTAAGCGGGAGAAAGTCAGACTCTTCGGCAGCTTCGGAGGGAGTTGCGCCGAAACACAATCTCTAACAGGAACACCACCCGCTGGGATGCTCCTGGAATGAGGGAGGGGAGCGGTGTGGAGGGGCGGGGAACTGGGTCCTGCGCCTAGAAAAATATAGGAAGGAATTGGAGACTGTTTCCCGTGGAAGGAGGACTTGACGCTCCGGCGCGAGTCCCAGGCTAAGGCTTAACTTCTGTAAGCCAGTTTCCTCCACTGAGTGCGGACTGACCTCTGATTTTTTTTTTTTTTTTTTTTAATCTTGCCCAAATTCCCAAGGGTTCTGGAGTCATGCCCTACAAACCATAAATTCTCATCAGATTGGTTTCATTTAATCCTATATATCGTGACTTATTTTGCAACCTGACTCTGACCTAACATATGACAAAGAGGAAAGTCAAAATATTTTACCCCAAAACATGTTTCTTTGCCCTATTTTGAAATGGCCCAGCAAAGCTGTTCTTTGTGGGGAAAAACTTTACATCTGTAAAGAATCTCTGTTAACATAGCTAGATCTTTTTCTTCCAGGCCCTCCTAATCCTAAAGAGATTAGGAGTCTACCACCTTTCAAATATCTGAAAAGGAAACATTTATCCTCTGTTGTCTCTAAGGGCAGCCACTGAGGACTTCAAAAGAACCTTGGTCTCCACAATCTTTTATCTTAACCTGAACATTTTCTATCCATCCTAGGTCTTTAGACGAAGTGTCAACCAGAAAATGTTTAAATTTACCCATAGCCTGGAACCTCCCCTCCCCCCCACACTTTGGGTTGTCTCACCTTTCTGGACCAAACCAATGTATTTCTTGAATGTATTTGATTGATGTTTCATGCCTCTGTAAAATGTATAAACCAAGCCGCACCCCGACTACCTTGGGCACATGTTCTTAGGATCTCCAGAGGGCTATGTAATGGGCCATGGGTGCTTATACTTGGCTCAGAATAAATCTCTTCAAATGTTTTACAGTTTTTAACTTTTTGTCGCCATGGGGAAGGTTCATTTGTTTCAGGAATGAGGACTGACAGCTAGGAGTTTCTTTGAAGAGCCTTCAAAAATGGGACAGATTTTCATCCACGTGCAATGGAGGGGGAAAGGAAAATGCATTTCATTGACATAATCCCGTAGCTAGAAAGGGGAAAGATGCCCTAAAATTAACTTAAGCAAGAACTGAAAACTTTCAAGAACTGAGAACTTAACTAAGTTTCTAGGATGATTTTGTCTCCTAGAAAAGAGGACTACAGAATAGAAAAGGTCATGTAAAATCATAAAGTGATCATCATACTTTAGGATTGAGATGCTTGGCAGTAAGGAGTCCAGCCAGCCAGTGGTGTAGCTGCATCTAGAAGGAGGGGGGAGAAGGATAGAGGAGCCATTGGGAGCATGGGATTTGGAATAGGATAGACCTTGGATTCGGTACTATCCTTGCTGTACACTAGCTCTGTGACCCTGGGGGAAGTTACTGAATCTTTCTGATTCTCACTTTTCCTAGCTGTAAAAAGAGAACAATCATTTCTGCTTCATATAAGGTAATTATAAGGATTCAATGAGATAATATACATAAAGACTAGACTTTGTCTGGCCCACAGAGGCACTTAATAAATGCCAGCAACATGAAGTAGTGTTAGCTGCATTTTGGATAATAGATTGCTACGTCAGGAGATCACTGGGGAGCTTGTGTCCTGTGCAGAGCCTAGTAATTAACACATAAGGAGCATGGAGTAAATACATGTAGGGTACCTAGTTTTATGATTATCAAAAGGGGATTAATTAATGAGGCGATGCAGTGGCCTTGTCTATATACACATTCTCATTGATGTCGTGAATGAGAATGATAGATATGCTGATGAGACTTGCCAGCAACCTGAGCTTGGAATGGATAGCTAATATACTGGATTTAGAAAGACTGACAGCTTAAATTATGCTATATCTAACACTATGCAGACATTTTCTCTCCAAAAAATACTTTCTGGACTGGGTGCGGTGGCTCACGCCCGTAATTCCAGAACTTTGGGAGGCCGAGGCAGGCAGATCACCTGCGGTCAGGAGTTCGAGGCCAGCCCGGCCAACATGGTGAAACCCCATCTCTACTAAAAATACAAAAACAAACAAACAAAAACTAGCTGGGCATGGTGGTGGGCGCCTGTAATCCCGACTACTCAGGAGGCTGAAATCACTTGAATCCAGGAGCCAGGGGAGGTTGCAGTGAACTGAGATCACAGCACTCCAGCCTAGGCAACATAGTCAGACTCTGTCTCAAAAAAACAAAAACAAAAAAATTTTCTGATTTTTTTTTTTTTCATGCTGAACAATCTTTAGTTCAAATATAAAAGTTCAATACAATCCATTTATAGGGCTCAAGATTTGTTGATCTTTTAAAAACAAGAAATGGGGAAATGCAACAAAATGATCTTTCCACTTTTCAAAAACTTTCAAGGATAAAAAGGATAGCTCATAGGGCCATAAAATACCTGTTTAATCAAACCCACTTTCACCCCCTACCAGTTGTCTTACTCCCATTCCACAATCTTAATACATATTCCCAAATGAAGATTTTCAGTTCAGCTTTGCTACGTAACCATTTAAAAAATACTTAGCACCAGCACGCTTCCTGTGATGGCAAGCAAATCATGAAACTACTTCAATATGCAATTCTTCTTTTTAAAACAAAGGGGGCAGTTATTTGTAGAAAGCAATGCTTAGCCTCCAGATACATTTCCCAGAAATGGCATATGCCATTCAAAGGCCTAGACACTCTTATGCTTTCAATGTAGAATAGATAGCCTAATGTGCATAGAAGCATGAATGGCAAAGTTGAAGATCAATATTATAACTGTTTTTTATTTCTTTGAAGCACAGTGAAAGAAAAATGTTGGTACACTTTGGAGATTCAGTGGTCCAGGGTACACTGTCATAACTTGAGGGACATTATAAAGTTTTTTAAAAAAGAGGAAAAAAAAATTCTGTTTCAAGCACTGCATTGCATAATTTTACCTGCCCAAACAGACCATTTACAAGTATTAGGTCAGTAAACTGCTAACATCCATAAAAAGGTAGCTTTCTTACTCAAATGCAAGAATTTAAAAGATTGGTCTCTAAACAAAGGACAGAAACAAACTGGAATGAAAGCGTAGATATCACATCTAAAATTGGGGTTTTTTGTTTGGGGCTTCGTACTCCTCTCTGTGTCGTATCCTGCTGGAGTTCCAGGCCCATTCCTCTAAGACCCTGTCCACGTACAGGCCCCACACCTCCCTGCCCAAGGCGCTCAGGACACATGTCACTTCCCATCCTGGAACCACTCATGGTTGCCGGTGGAACTCCAGGATTAGCTTCAGAACTTATGCCGCCGCCACCACCTAGAGGTGGAGCTTTCTGGCCTCCTGAACCATAGCCTCCCCATGTTCATTGCTCCTCCGCCATCCGTTCTCACGTCTCTTGATCCGTGTAGCCCATTCGGCTGTCACTTTCCTCTCTTTGGCGCCTCATTTGTTCTTCCATCTCATGTTGACAAATCATCATCTCTTCCTCGCTTCTACATCATTCCTCCTCTTGCCTCAATTGCATTTCTTAACATTTCTGCGTTTCTTGATTGTGAAGTTCTTCCGTGCGTCTTAATTCCTCCTGTCGTCTCTTCAGATCTTGGCACAAAGGATTTGCCTGATGTTCACAGCAGGCGTCTTCCGTTTCATTTTCCAATTTGTCTTTTGCATCCTTCCTGGTTTTTTTTTTCCAGCTTGTTCCCTTTGCTGTTTTTCCATTTCATGACCAAACACTTCCATCGCTGAGAATATTCATACTGAGATGTGCCACGCTGGGCAAAACGAGGAGGGGTTCCTCTCTCCTTTGGGTACATTGGATTATCCTGTGCAGGTTTTTGAGGAAGACCATCTTTATCGTCTCGTTGTTCAAGTGGTTCCACAGTGACTGGACAAGGAGTTGTCAGCAGAAAAACACTGCATTGTTCAAATGCCTTTCTTGTTGCTGGTTTAGAAGCAAATTCAATAATGCCTTTCCTGGTAGATCTTCCACGATCATCCCCTGTTATAACAAATGGGATCAAACTGGCTAATGGCTTCTTCCAGCAGCTCATTGGAAACATGAGGTGAAAGATTAGGAACAGACAGGGCAGCAGGATATGGGGCCAAGCGAACTCGAAGCTGTCTACCTCCCATGGGTGTATCATCGAGTTCAGCTTTGGCAGTTTCAGCCAGAGCTCTAGATTCAAGCTTAATAAATCCAAATCCTTTGCCTTTGTTGATAAAAACTTCTCCTGGCTCTCCATATTTAGCAAATAGTCTTTTGAATTCATCCTCTGTGATTTAGATTATCACAGGTAGATTCCCAAAAAACAACCCACATCGCTGTAAGTTTTCTCTCCAGGCCTCCTCAAGAGAGACAAGTTGGCTTTAAACCCTTCTGAGTGCGGCCATGGGGCCGGGGCCCCTGCGGTGCTGCTGGTGGTAGGGCGGGTGGTGTTGGCGCCCCCGCTGCGGGGCTCCCCACTGCTTGATGCGGTGGCTTGTGGCTGCCAGGAGTGCCTAGGCCTGGGCCCTGCGTAGGCCCAAGGGTGGAGGCGTGGTAGGGACCCTGCTGCTTGGAGGGGTGGGTGGCGATGCCATCGTGGGAAGGGGGCCTGAGGTGACTGCAGGCAGCGGCATCT